CTGAACTGGTTGCCATTACGCTGCCTCGGTGTTGCACAGTCCTTTGAGGAAAAGGGGATCTGAGGGTCTGTACTAGTAAAGGGAGGAGTAACTACCCCGAATCATTAGCCTGTGCTGTCAACATGCACTTAATTCGTCTGTCTCCACTCAAAAAGCATGAAAGTCCCCATGCTGAAGAAATGAAACAAAGTTAAATAGTCAGCCCGTCCTGGTTGTTACCTCTTTCATTGTTTCTGCCTGGAAATGATTTCCTGTGACTCAGTATGTCAGCTCACAGCATCCAAACTGACTCAGCTCGTGCGGTTCCAGAGACGGCTCCATCCCTGTGCCGCTCTCCGGAGCCTTCCCTGCTCCTGCTGCGGCTGAACAAACCCAGTTTCACATCTGCTCCTGCCGTTCCTGTACTGTCTCCTGCAAGTGAGCCAGCCGGTGCCTTTGCTTGCTCCAAGCAGGGTATGGAAATGAGGCACTGGAGGTGGCAATTGGCACCTCCAAGAGGTGCTAGGAAAATGGGTACCAGTGGCCAAATAGTGTTGCTTAGTTTTCCAAGAAAAAGATCAAAACAGGGGAGAGAAAATGGATAGAGACTGAGTTTAGCTCAGTGTTTACTTGCTGATGGTGTTTGGAGCTAGACTGAAAAACACTTACAGATTATGGTTTCCAGAGGCAGCGACAGCCCATCTCTCAAGGTTAAGCGGTCTCTGGCCCCTGTGCTGTGCGGGCACAAGCAGAGTGCGACCATGTGGCAAACCAGGACAGGGAACTGATCTGACTGAAAACTACCCATGCTTGCTGGCTCAGCTTTCAGCTGGTTCAGGTGCCTGACCTGGTTCACCAGTCACTTGTGCCAACCCAGGGCAGAAGAAGGAGGTATGGAAACGAGTGACCACAAAAATACACATGGAGGGTGATGAGTGGCTAAGCAGCACTGCTGGCTACAAAACCATGGCCAGCAGAGGCAGCTCTGCACAGCAGAGTGGAAGGCCCAAGGGAAGATCTGGTTCTGACTCACTCTTTCTTAGCTGGGGATAGCCCAGCTCTGGGGGAAGTCTGAGGAGGAACTGAAATGCTAAAAACCAAACTGCTGTGAAAAGCTGCAGTCTGGTATCGGAGGGGTATGTGCAAGGCAGGAGCTATCCTTCAGAGGGAAAATGCTGGGTTGTTTCTCCAAGCCTGTCAGTCACACCAAATTTGTGTCTTCTCCATTTTATTTGTCCTGTGGACAGGGCCCTTCTCTTTCCTTAGACACATTTTCTCAGCTGCTGACAAGGCTGCAGTTATCCCCTGTGGAGCAAATGGTGAGGAAAATCTGACTGGAGCCATAAGGCCAAGGGCTCAGAATGGGACAGCAGTCCGAACAGTGAACTTTCAGAAGTCATTCTCTGACCACGTAATTCAAAACAATGGACGCTGCAGGGGGGGAGTCATGATGCTGTCAAGTCTGCGTCCTAGTCAGTGCCAGCTCACCTGAGATGCCAGGAGGCAGTGAGAGACCTTTATACCCTTGCTTACAGGACTCTTCCATGCTCTGGTGGCTTTGGGGAAACTCAGTCTCCGTTTTTGCCTCTCTCTCTCCTTCTCTTGTTTTTGTTTTGTGCCTTCCAGTTTGCATACTCAAATGAGGCCAAGCTCCCTCAGGTGATAGTTTTCCTGTCTTACATCTTGCCTTGTTAAGTTAATTTTATCTAATTCTCCCAATGTAACATTGCCTAAATGTAGGACCCTTTCACACAGTTTCTCTTGCAGCTCTGTAGTGGTGCTTCATTCTGAAACCCTTCCCAGTTATCAGTGTGGGAACAGAGGAATGTTCCTGGTGTGGCCACTTTGGGCGGCAAAAACGGGCTGGTTTCAGAGGAACGTGCTCCCTGTAGCTATGTGCTACTGAGTTCAGCAAGAAGCTGGAGAGGTTTGGAAGCAGTGATTTATGTTCTGCATTTCAGATTCCCATACCAAGTGTGCCTGCGTTCCAGCCGTCCACCCCCATCCCTGAGCGCCTGGAAGCTGTACAGCGCTACATCAGGGAGCTTCAGTATCCTTTACTGTTACCTTAGTCACTGCTGTGATAACTGAGGAAGAGAGAGCAAGGGGACTTTCGCTGTGAAGAACAGAAAAGCTCATTCTGTAGCTGGAGGGGAACTGAAACTTGCTCCCTGAAAACGGGAAGCTGGACTTGGGATGACGGTTTGTTTTGCTGCTCTGTTTCTTTTCTTTTCTGCCCAAGTTACCTTCTGATCCTGTTTGCTCCATGTAACAAATGGCATGTGGTCAAGGGCCTTTCCCCACTACCCACCCCTCTAGGTCAGTGGCTTTACAGTGCCATCTCATTAAAAACACGCATATCTTAGACCCTGACAGCTGGGTCTCTGATGGACTACAAACTGTGCCACCTCACTGTTAAGGCATGGGTGAGCTGGGGTCGTGAGAAAACTGCCTCTCAGGTCATTCTACGCAAACACTCTTCTCTGTAGCTGTGTAAAGGACAGTGAGCCACCCTGCTTTTGTGCATCTGTGGTATCCTGCCCCTTTATATGCAGAGCTGCCTGTGTGACTGTGTCCTGGGAATGAGATTTCTCCATCCCCGTTGTGCTGGACAGCAGGTATGTGCCATGCAAGCACAGCCTAATCTCGCTGATGAGATACAGAGCTAGCTCTGGCTTCAGCCCTAAAACAAGGTAAGGCGGCAGACCTTTTGGCACCTCTCACCCATCTAAGGTGGTTATGCTCTGGATTGGGTCCCAGTCAGCCTCAGACTAAGGTACCACAAATGTTTCTATGTTCCGTGCATTCTGTGCAGGCCGGAGCAGGCAGAGATCTATCAACTGATAGATCTATCTATCTATTAGTTCTGCCCTAGTAACTGGAAAGCTGAGCAGAGCATGTGCTGTCAGCATGGACCTTTGGGAAATGGACTGGAAACCTGTATGTGGGGAGGAGAAAGAGAAGAATTCACAAGAAAGAAATACAGTGGAAGTAAGGAGGGGCTATAAATGGGAGAAATGCAGGAGAGGGAGGTGAGGACTTTCTTGCGTTGCTGTTGCATTTGTGGGATCATGACTTTGCTGTGAGAATAGTAAGTAACATGAAAGTTCTTCAGACAGATTTTCTTCAAGCTCTTACTTTCCAAGCTGCCAAGCCCTTAACTTATTGCCTCCAGGTACAATCACACTGGGACACAATTCTTTGAGATTAAGAAGAGCAGACCTCTGACTGGGTAAGTGCTGGCAGCCACTATAGCATTTAATCCTTGCTTTAAGATGCTGGGGCCTTGCTACACCCACTGCTTTTTCTTCCATCCCCTGGCCAAGATCTAGGTGGCACTCAGGGCTTTCAGTACTGCAGCTCCATCCTACTTCATTGTGACTTCATTGTCTGTTGCCTGGGGCATGGCTGGGCAGTCTGGGTGTCTGGCCTTTCTCAAGGACAACAGTAGGTTTTGTTGTCATGAATCAGTAAAGCCAGTAAAATAACAAAAATGTATTTCAAAGATGTGCAGATTCTGCCTGCTTCTAATTGGAACGTAACTATATGAACTTCTGATGGATTCTGAAATTAGGTACTGCCCTAAACAAGTTTTGTAAAAGCCAAGTATCTTTACAGGTCTAACTTCATAGCTCCTGTGAGTGCCTTTGCAGAACCTAGACTTGCTAAGTTTTTGGTGTCTCATAGTTTGAAGGGGGATTCTTCTGACTGCCGATTTTGGAAAGAGCTGTGCCCCATAAGTTCCTGGAGATAACCACCTCATGTTCATTGACTCTCTTGGCCGGCATATTGAGAGTCTCCCAAGACTGGCTTCTTACTATTGGTCTAGTCCATAGGCTTATGTGACCCTAAATGCCCTGTGTTGTAATCAGTGCAATGTCTCCTCCACAGTATTTGTTGAACGGAGAGTAGGGTTGATGCCAGAGAAGAGGGCTTCACTGTCCTCAAACCTTGTGAGGTAAACATTGCTGGGTTTTGGTCCTTTGAGGCTTCTGCTTGTGGTCACACTGGTGTCCATCCAGAACTCACTGAGCCAAGTACTATGGTCTCCCTGAGAACAGAGGTCAGCCTCGTAGGCAGCTTTGCTGTAACTTACTGAACGGAGTTCCTTGTAAGCAGCGACAGCATGTGGTAGAGACCTGGTTTGGATTTAATATCTTCCTAAAGAAGATATTTTCTTCTGTTCCCTGCCCTCAGTGGGCCACCTTCTCTCCTAGAAACCTGCCTTACATGTATAGTGCAAAAGGGCTGAATTGGCTGTACTTGCACAGCACAAGCCCTCTAACTGTCCCTGTCTTTCCCTTGTCCCACTCTACAGGCTGATGGACCTGGCCAAAGAAATGACCAAAGAGGCCCTGCCAATAAAATGCCTGGAAGCTGTGATCCTGGGAATGTATCCTTTCCTCTTGGAATCGTGCATGTCTGCCCATCCTTTCTCCTCTGCTCTCTTATGATGTTTTCAGTCTGCTGATAATATTGTCATCAAGCCCCACATCCCTCTGTTTTCCCTCCCCAGTTCTCCCAAAAAAACCCACCAATAAAATCCAAATCCAAGCAATTCTCTGAAATATCAGAACTAGTTCTTTGGAGTTGCTCCTCCTTCCCCAAGAAGGGTGATGCTGCTCTGGACAACTCTACAAGTGAGTAAAAGATAAAGGAAGGATCTAAGGAACATCTAAAGAGGGGCAAAAGTACTGGCTAGAGTTAGGTCAGGAAATCCTTTGTGGATAACATTGTTCCCTTACTACAATGTTGCCTGCATGTGTTCTACATTAAAATAAGTTAGGGATCCTCCCCAACTTCTAATTATGGTGTATGTCACTTTGCTATTATGTCTAACACTGCCTGCCAGCTTAGGCAATACCTTTATTAATTCTAGATATGTGTCATCTTTAAGCACACATCTTTCCTAGCTATCTTCCAGGCTTAGTCTATGTCACTCGGGCTATAGATTCTTGAGGCACACTAGCAAAGCCACCTGGAGGGGCAGAGATGGCAAGTGAATGGTTCAGAAGGGTAGTCTGATGAGTATTTTGTCCTGCAGGTTCCTCGGTTTGTGTGTGAAATAGTAGCTAGTAAAACAGATTAAAACAAACTGAGGAATAATGCCACAGCATTACAGTTTGGGAGCTATGGAACACTTGAGGTGTTAGCACTGCAACTTCTGCATCACAAAACTGCCTCAGAATTAACTCCCCTTTGTTGGCTGCCTTGTTGAAGAGGCCAAGGCTGGTTTCCCTGTGACCCAGATGAAAGTAGGGCAGCTTGCAATGAGCTGGGCTCTTGATCTGGAGGAGAAATCGTGCCTACGTGATGCCTGAAACAGTGGTGTCTCTGCTGAGCAGGCTGGGAGGGTTTGGAGCAGGAAGGAAGTATCTTGTCAAGAAAATGGTATCACTGGTTGTTTCCTGAATAGTGGCTGCTGTCAGTTACCTCACCAACAACATGACCACGCTGGACCGTTTCCCCATCAGCTTCAAAACCCACTTCTCAGGGAACTACTTCCGACACATTGTGCTGGGGGTGAACTTTGGAGGCCGCTATGGGGCACTGGGCATCAGCCGACGCGAGGAGCTCATGTACAAAGCACCCGTCTTCCGCACGCTGAGCGAACTCATCTTTGACTTCGAGGAGGCGTATCGCCGCTGCTGGCACACTCTGAAAAAGGTGAAGCTGGGCCACTGTGTGTCCCATGACCCACACAGTGTGGAGCAGATTGAGTGGAAGCACTCCATCCTGGATCTAGACAAGCTAACCCGGGAAGACTTCCGCAAAGAGCTTGAGAGACATGCCCGTGATATGAGGCTGAAGGTAAGCAGCAAGGATGGAGTAGTTTGCTGCTGCATCCGCTGTCTTGCCTGGCTGATGGTCTGCTGGGGAATGAAGTGGCAGGATGCTCTCCTAGATGGCGGTGGAGTAAAGGGTGAATTGGAGGCTGGGGGCTCTTTTCCTTTGTATACAGGCTGATCCCCTACTGGATGCTTGTGCAGTACTGCAGTTGCGATTAGCTTGGACTACAGTATGCAGTCCTTGGAGGCATAGCTGTCACTGTAGCTTGCTTTTTCTGGCTTTTGCATTTTTGATGCACTTGCCTGTCCTTTTTTTCCTTTTATTCCCATATAATTAATCGTTGTTAGGCTTTGTGTTTTCTGGTTACCACTCGTATTGGTTTTCTGCTCATGTTGCTCTTACTTTAATTTTTCTGGCAGATTGGCAAAGGAACTGGGCCACCATCTCCCACCAAGGACAGAAAGAAAGATGTCTCCTCCCCACAGAGAGGTCAGGCCAGCCCCCATCGGCGCAACAGCCGTGGGGACCGACGGTGAGTGGGGCTGCTGGGCAGGAGACCTATCTAGGGCATCTCTGTTTTACTCACAGACTCCACCTTGCTGTCTGGTTTTGGATCCTTCTGACGTCTTATTGAGGTTCTTTATAACAGGGGATACTTCTCTGACCTGCAGTAGCCTTCTTCCCTAGTCTGTGCCTTTGTGAGTTTCTCATTGCTTGGGGAGCGGGGGACAGCTGGGGTTTTTTTTCGTTTTGGCAGGGAGGAGAAAGGCAGCTCAAATAGACAGTGATCTTGGTAGCTGATACTTAACCTTACACAGGGGTCTGAGCTCTGGTGTCTCACAGACCTGTGCCCCAAAGAGATTCCAAAAATTACACTGCTGTCAGTGAGATTGTTTCCCTGAAACTGATCTGGAGTACCAGCGTGGACTTCCTACTCTTTCTAACCTGCATTCTCTTCTGTGGAGATCGTTGGGAGAGTTACTGGAGGTCACAGAATAATCCTGACCTCAATAGTGTAGGATAAATCTGGAGCTTTCCTGTACCTTTTCCTGTGCTGCCATCTCTATGTGCAGCACCTCCTGACTGAAAAAACAGCTTCTGAATAGTTCTTACCCTCTTTGCTCACAGGCCGTCTGGTGAGAAGAAGCCTGCCGATTCCAAAGCCATGCCAGACCTCAATGGGTACCAGATCCGGGTGTGAAGAGAGCTGTGCCTTGTGTGTCTGGCTCCACAGACTTCTACTGGCCACAACTGGGACCTGGATCCACCTGCAGGGATTCTGACAAAGGGGACAGGGGAGCGGGAACGGAACGGAGTGCTGATCTTCCCAGGTACTTCCTAGTGGGCCAGTCCCAGAGCTGGATCCCATGGGTCCCAGAGGATTCACCTGCCTGTTTCTGGGAGAGGTGTCCATCTTAATTCACCGAAACAAGTATTTTTAAAAAAAAAAAATAAAAAAGATCTGTACATTGGTGGGAGTTTGCTGCAGGGAGAATATGAAGTGAGTGGGGTCAGCAGACTTGCTATCAATTTTTTTGTGTTGACAGCAAGTAAATGAAGCATCTTGTCGACAGTACTTCTTCCCTGTCTGCGCAGAACTCTTCAACCCATGCAAGGCCTGCAGAGCTGAGGGAGGAGCGATGCTGGAATAGGATGGCCCCGCATCTTGTGCAAAAACTCCTGGTTTTGTCATTATGAACACTTTGTTTAGCATTGCTCTTGTGAGAGACAGGGCTGAATTTGCTCAGCCTTATTGATCATGCAAGGGCCTCTCATCCAGAGAAACCACATCTTGTATGTTTAGTCCTGCCTATTTCAAAGCATTTCATTGTCTCTGAGGGGGTAGACAGTGGGATGATGATCCTCTTCACCCACTGCAATGCTGGTGAGTTGTTGCTGTAAGTCCTTTTGTGGTTGAGTGGGTCAGGATATGCCTATGCCAGTGCCATATGAAAACAGGCACAGAGACCTCAATCGTCCCAGCAGGGGCAGGCAGGGGCTGGTAGGAAGCCTGAACTTTGAGTCATCTCTTCGCCAGCCTTCTCTCTATTAACTTCTAGTGACTGCTACTGTGAAAGCTTGCGGAAGGCACTTCAGTCACTGAGGTACGAGTTTTAACAGTAAATAGTTAAAGAAGGATTTAATGATGTGAACAGGTTTTACAAGCATTTTTCCTTTCCACAAGGGTCTTGCTCCTTCCTCACTGTAGTGTTAGTGCTAGAGTTACAGACACCTGTTGGTGGGAAGCCCTGCTCGAGGAAACTGCAGCTGCTTTCCTGACAGCTCAGCCTGGAGCCTCCTGAAAGTAGTTCCCCACCCCAGTCCCAGAGCTGTGCTAGTGTTCTGGCTCTTCAGATAGCTGCAGTATTTAACAGCACCACTTATGCTAGCCTTCCTCAAAGGGCTGGGCTGGGTTGGACCTTTCTGTCCGCTTACAGCCTTGACTCTTCCTACACTTCTTTTCAGGGGAGTGTTGTACTACTGATTAAGCAGTGTAATGCTTGTCAGAAATCTGGAGTGTTTTCAGACCTGTCTTTGAGTCCTAGGGCCTGGAAACAGTGGGGTTGCCAGAAGTCAAAACAGTATGGCCTTGAAGTGATCTGGGTGCGTGGATCTAGGGGATGCAAAAACTGAGCTTGGCATTGGGAGTATCCTTGAGAGAAACTGAGTCTTGTTCTATCACAGCACTGACAAGGAGCTAAACTTTCTGAAATACTACATATTTAATTTTGTTAGAACTGGGCTTATTCTTTCCTGTGAACTTGTGAGAAACATGATGGAGCTTAGCTCTACCAGGTTTTTTGTTGCAGTATTGCTGTGCCACACCCTCATATAAGCAGTGCTATTTTGGTGGCAGAGAATGGGTTCTTATCCCCAAACAAATCAGCTCTTCTGTCCAGTTAAAGCAGTGTTAATCCCTGAAGCACCACCCACAAGCGATTTAACTCAGGCGTTACAGGTTCGTAATTGTACATCCCTAACTGTGATGTAACTTGCAAGGCACTGTATCCATACCACTGCAGTCTGTCCTTCCAAGCTCTTTGTAGTCTGTACTTTTCTGCTATGCTGTACAACGAGGAGGACAATCCATAGGGTGTTGGCAGAACTTGCTGCTGATCCAAGACAAGGTTAATCCAGAAAAGGATGCCAGTTTCCACAGTGCAGTGCAACACCTATCCCCTCCCTTGCACTCCAGCTACACGCAACAAATTGAAATTAGACAGCAGTAGCAAGCCAAGCATCCATTTGAATGTGTCCTCTGGTCAATTTTGTGTGGCTGTAAATTAAGATATTTAGTGTCTGGAGGCTAACAATGATGTTAGTTGTAAAGGTACCACAGTCACCTGTAAATAATATGGGTCACTTGGAAGCCACAAACTGCCTTTGCATAACGTTTGCTATGCAGCGGACTGAAAGTTCAGATGCCACTGTGAATCATATGATAAATACGAGCAGCAGTCAGCAAGGGAGACTGAATGTCAGGTTTTATTAAAGTGGATGAAATCCAGAAAAAAAATTATAAAAGCCACTTAGATAAAACTAGGATGCATCCTCACTATGACGTTGGTTGGTTGGTTGGTTGGTTAGTTAATCCAGAGTAACTGGAAAGCTCTTGAGAATAATTAGGAGCTTCATACAGAGCACATTCAATAGCTGGACAGACTTGAGCCTTTTTAGATGGACAGGACGGGAAGTGTGTTGGGGGGAGGAAGACTTCACAACAGATGGGGCAAGTGAGGCGTCAGCTGCAAGCTAATGATGCTTTCTTGAGAGCGGGGCAAAAGGGATGCTCAGCAGTGTTAGATCACCAGGGCAGAATGGCTTAAAACAAAATGCTTTGTTTGACCTGGTAATGAAGTACTTTCCTGCAGGATGTAACTGAGGCCAATAGCTTAGAAAACCAAAGGAAGTGGATGTTTAAGGAATGAATAACAGGTAGAGTTCAAGGACTCTTAATCCTCAGCTGTAGCCAGACAAGAGTATCCTCTTTCAAGATTTAGTTGCACAATTATGTACGTTAGGAGGCATTTAATTCTTATGTATCAAACGTTGATGACTTCTCAAGATGGACGCAGGAGCAGATATGAGCCTTGTACTAGGGTTACTATTTCAAGCCTTCTACTATGTTTCTCTGTGTGGTAGAATTCCTGCCCCTTACTGTTTCTCCATCTCCAGTTTAGCAGATGGTACAAGAAACCAGAAAATAACCAAACAATTCTCCCCTTCTTGCTCTTGCTCCCCGCATCTTTGTAACAAGATGAATCACTTCAATACAAAGCTTACATTCCTTGCTAACAAACAGGACAGCATCCCCCTGTGACCGAGAGGATTAGTGCAATCCGGTTTTATGCTGTAAGAAACCTGAGGGTACAATGAAAGGTAAACTTTTGCACTTCCACTTCTTTCCTCCCTCCTCCACCTGCTCTGGCTTCTGATCTGTCTGCCTTTAACCATAAGGAAAAAAAGGCTGGAGATGAGTCTTTTTCACTTCTGTAGTCTTTAGAGCTACAGAGAAGGAATTAAAGTAAGGAACTAGACTGTAACTCATACTCCTTAGTGCCTGCAGAACAAAAAAGATGGATATTGAAGAGTCCTATTAATTATTTCATGTTAAATATTAATATGATCGCTCATGTAGCTCTGGGGTGTAAATTTCACTGTTCAGTAGGTCTCACCTGATCTCCGTTCTGCAGGACAAGCCCTTCTGAGCTCTGTGGAAGGGAACTGCGTCCCTACACTAGGAATGGATAGACACTGCCTATGCTGTATGTGAAGTCTAAGTGAGCTTTGAAAGACTTGAACAAATGCTGACCTACTACTAGCAAAACTATTTTAAATGTAACGCAAACCTTGAAATAAGAGTTCCTCTTAATACTTTTATGTAGACAAGTCCCTTGATACCTGGCCAACTGCAATTTTTTTAACAGATGAATGGATTAGTGAGCAAAACTTTCTGCTACAGTGTCACTCTGATATAAATTTCATATACTAAAGAGCGGGGTTCGGTGTCCATCAGTCTGTGACATACTAGCCTTTTTTTAAACTCTGATATGATAAGCTCAATGAGTCTTTAGATACTTAAGGTATGTTAGCAAGTGTTTTAGCTGGGAGTGGAGTGCTTTTTTTCAGTTGACTATTTTACCTGTGTGCCACTGTGTGGGTCAATACATAGTATGCTTGGATCTGCCGGAATAAATGACTCCAGAACTGTGGTTGAAACATAGTCTCTGTTCGTGCAGTAGCTGTATTGTTGTTATCAGATCTGCTTAACATGAAGAATTTATTTTTTTTTAAGTATTTCAGGTGAAAGCCTTAATCAGGTGCCTGTCGCTTAAGGCAGGCTCACATGTGGTGTTGTATAGACTGAAAAACGTCTGTCCTTAAAATTGCGGAGTTTAAGAAACCATAATGAACAGAAGAATGCTCCTGTTGCCAAAGGGCGAGAGTCTGGATTAGATGGGCTTGACCTTGCTCCAGTGGCTCTGCCTAACCACTTCAGGTGGTTGCTTTAGCCACTTGTGCCGTCTAAGTGAAGTATTTCAGGAACTAGAAATCAGGAAGTGATGATCAGGAACTAGATATAAGCAGGAGGTGCCCTGTGTCCCACGCGTACTGTGTGTGCAAGTCTGGCTGAAATAACACCACATATTCCAATGGTCTTGCACTGTTGTCCTGTCAACATTAAGACCTGCATCATGGATTTATAACTTAACCTAAGAAAGCAAGTGCTATTCTGGCTTGGTGTTTGCTCTGCCAGAGCAAGGTGGAGATGGTCCCTCTTCAGCTAAGCTGAACTCCTTAGGGAATTTAACATTTTTGTCTGTTTTCTGAGCAGGTGTTTACTTGTATCACAACCACTCTCCTTCAGTGGTGCCCTGGCCCTGTCTGCTCAAGAACAACTCAACTTAGGCCCAGAAGGCTACTGAATCCCCCGTAATCTCTGCAGAGCAGAGTTTCCCTCCAGGTCAGGGTTGAGATGGTGCTAGTGGGACCAGAGTGGTCCCCTTCCATGTACATCAGTATTCTACTCTAGCACTGATAGGGTGCTCCAAAACCATTTACATCTTTATCACTGGTACAGCTCAGAACTAAGAAATGGGAGGTTTCTTTGTTTAAGAACAATATCACGTATGTCTTTTTGTAATTAATCAGTGTGGTTCTGTGTTCTTATGTAGCCAACACAGAACTTGTATTTAGATTTAGTTCTTACTGCACTTCCCATAGCCCTCATGTTGATACTTCTTTCTGCTTCCTTTGACACTTAGACAATAAAATTCCCTCTGTACTGCTCTCAGCTTGTGCAGAGAAAACAAGATGTCTGTATTGTGTTTCTTTCCAATCTAAACTTTCCCGTTGTCAGTCAGCTGAGAAGTCAAAGGCACAGGCTTGAGTCATGGTATCAGACAGATTACGTATAGATGCCCTGTACTTGCAACACCATGGACATGGAAAAACTCTCATTCTCCTTCAATCATCTGAACAGGTGAGTATGTCTGTACACACAGAGGCAGCTGCCAGAGAGTAAGAAATATGTATGTGGCTGTGTAGCAAAGGCTAAAACTCATCTTTTCCTCTTGAACTGCCATCAGTCAGGCTGGATGAAAAAAAAAGAGTTAGTGGATGCAGCCACAGGAATTTCAGTCTT